AGCCGGAGGCGGGTGAGGGTGGCGGTGCTTTGAGCGGACGACTGGGGCTTTGCTGGAGGCAGAGGAAGTTCAGATCCATCTTGAGCTTGAGCCTTTAAATGTTCTCGGAGTCTGAAGCTTTGAGAGGACTGGATTTCAGTGTGCACCCCCAGCTTGGGGGGCTGGAGATGGGAATAAGCCCAGCCAAACCTGGGCTTCTTGTGCACAAGACTGTGCTAAAGAGAAATACCATCTGGAAGTCAGGCTGTTATTTCTTAGTGTCTGAGAGCTGAGTTGATAGTATTGTGAGTTAGGAGAGTTGGCTGTTTAGTTCTCCCTAATACCTAATGTATAAACTTAAGAGTATAGAAGTATTTTAAAGTGGCAGTTGAATGTAGCATGTAACAGTATGGTTGTGGGGTTTTTTTTTGTTTTGGTTTGGTTTTTTTGGTGGGTTTTATTTTTTGTGACTGTGAACAGCGCTGCTTTCTTTTATTACAGCATTAACTTTAAAGCTGTTTTTTAGTGTCTTAACAGTATACAGTTATGGGCATTATTAATAAAATAATGTTGACTTATCTTAAAATATGTTTGTGAATTTCTCTTTCTCCTATCTTGAGTGCAGCCTCCTCTTTCTTTTTTTTTTTGATGTTGCTAAACTTATGAGTGATATGTCATGTTTGTTGCCTTAAAATTAACTATTTAATTGTAAAATATGTTTTTCTTCTACAGTGCTTCACATGTAGTCATCTCTCTTGTGAAAAACTATCCAAACTATCTGATTATAAATCTAGATAAGGTAAGTAGCTTGTTTTCTTTCTAGTATGGAAAACTATTTTAAGTCATTTTTAATGCAATCTATAACATTTTGAAATTTGTATGGATTATTGTTAATTATTAAATTTTTGTTTGACTATCCATTTGTCCCTATGCAAAAAAATTCAGCTGTTGTTCATGCACACAGTCCTGTGCCCACCACAAATAATTATTTGAAAAGAAAAAAATGAAAGAAGCTTTTGAAGTTCTAAACTTCTGTTTAAGACTTTTCCAGTTAGAATATCTTTCAGAATTTTGTGTTTTTAAAGCCTCATTGTGTCTGCTTGTAAAATACCTTTTTATTTGAAATAAGTTTTTACTTTGTTTTCAAACTTTCTACTGACTAGATTAGATCTAACTAACTTACTTTCACAAAGTCCATTTAATGATATTGTGATGGATATTTCTCTTTAGCTTGACTACTCTGCAAGCTTGAAGAATCTTGAAACTGTTTCTGAGAAGGAAAACTACAAGTTTATCCAGGTAATAAACCCTTTTCTAGGAATCTTGGCTTTTTACTGGTTCTTATGCCTTTGTATCAAGGTATTGTGGTCTCCAGTGCTCCCCAAACTAGAAGCCACTGCATTCATTTATGGTAAAGTTGAAGTTACTTCTAATTAATTTCCAAGAATGAGTCAGTGTATGTAATATGCCACTGTATGTGACAATTGCATGGCCATAACAGCATTTACTTCATCTGTTTACCTTAATAGACTTCATATTTCACCTACAGATTTCTGTGATAATATGCAGTAAGTTCTTTTTTTTTTTTTTTGCATGAAGTAGTCTTTTGAAAGTTGACATACTTTATTGTGTAATAAAGGTACAGAATTGGTAAAAGCCTGATTATGGTGTTGAGTGGTTTCAGAGATGATTGTTTCACTTTTGATGGGTGGTATGGACAAGGTGAACTTGGGTTCAGCTCCTCCATGCTTCTCTGATGCTATCTTAGGTTTTATACCTTCAAACACTGACACTTGTCATACTCTATGGAGTGCAACTTGTTATGTTAGCACTAGGCATCAGGCTACATTCTTGCTTTTGCTGCTGTTGATGCTATGTAGTTCATAGCTGTTTTGGAGCAGGGTCTTGTGGGAACATTTGAGATATGCCTTTTCTTTTTAAAACTTTGTCAATTAGGTTAGTTTACTGTTTCCACAGTTTCATCTTGAGACAGGAGGTTGATTTAGATTTATTGTTCAGATAAACGTTCTGTCAGCTGGGTTTGTGTGCTGAGGTTTTCCCCTCTATGCAACTCAGTACTGATGTTGATCTCTGTGTAACTGGGCTGCCTGAGGTTGCAGGACATCAAAGAAATACATATAGTTTAATTCTCTGACGTAGCAGCTTTAGAGTAACTTTTTCAGAGCTGGCAGATAAAAGTTGAACATATCTCTTAGATTCAGGCAAGGTTGGGAATTGAACTAACTTGCTGTACCCTGTTTGGTAACCCCATGGCTGTTTACATTTTTGTGACCGTACCTCTTTATTTCAGTAAGTGATTATCTCCAAGCTTTGCAGTAATAGTTGTGTGAGAGGAAAGGGTATGTCTACTAAGCAAAACCATGCAGTTTGGGTGCCCAAACTGAATTTTCTAATCCTAGTTTTTTTGTCTGTTTCTAGTGTGTGATATGAAATGTATGAATGCTATAGGAAGGCCTTGTTATCTGCATATATATTAACTTCTAATTGCTGGAGATAGTACAGCATTCTATAAGGTATCCTGTAAATAGTGAGATCCCTATGTGAAGCAGGGGGATAGTAACAAGGAATGACGTAGCTGTCCTGCTTCTGAACTAGAGTAGGAATATGCTCTTACAACAGTATAATTCATTCCAACTTTTCTTTTTTAATCTTTTTTTTTTGCTTGCTTTATTGTTTTTAAGGAAGGTTGATCAGAGCTTAACATGCAGGTGGTGTGTGGCCAAACAGTTTACACTGATATGAGAAAATGCACTGAACAAAGTTATCTCTGATGGACAAGCCATATGATTAGAACCGTAACACTGTTACTGGCCTTCTTCCCCTGAACACCCTTTCTTCCCTGACACTATTTTGTTTAAGTTTAGCTGACAGATAAGTATGAAAAGCTTTTTCTCAACTTATATTTACCTTTAAAAGTTGCTCTTGCTTCTATGTCAAGCTAAAGAATGGCTTGTGTGTTGATGCTTGACCCTTCTCTAAATATATAAATTAAAAAAAATAATTTACAAACAACAAAACCTAAAATTCTTGCAAGACATCCGACCACCTGTTTTGACAGAAGTGGAAATCCACTTCACCTTTTATTAAAGACACTAGGTGTCACTGTCTGTTAGCCAAACTTCAGTAACCCTATTATTTGCTATAGGAACTTGTCACTTCAATCTCAGCATTAAAGCTACTCGCTATACTTCCATTGTGTATATCTTGGAGCCGATACTGTTTCTAATGTTAAATAGTAATATAAATCCTGAAATAAGTTTTGTTGAGGCTGTTGCTTAAAATGTGTGAAATTTATATCTGGTCTCATTTTAGACATGGCATTGATAAATTGCCTAAAACTCCCTTGATAGTGCTGTTTGTAACGGTTTGTTATGTCATGCTCAGTACAAATGAGAACTTACTATTTTCTATTAAAAAATAACTTGTTAATGATTTTTTTTTCCTGTTTAGGGGGATATTTGTGAACCTGACTTTATAAAACAGCTATTTGAAACTGAGAAAATAGATATAGTCCTTCATTTTGCAGCCCAAACACATGTTGGTGAGCACTGCTTCATGCTTTGATATTATTTCTGGAGGTATATTTGTTTCAAATATATACCGATATTTTTCCTCTTTGCCATTCATATAAAACGAGGATACAGCTTGTGTCTACAAACTGCGTGATTCAAGGTCTAGTGGCATTTTTTAAGGGGTTCACAGCCTTAATTTAAAAAGTGCTTCATCTGACTGTTGTCTGTTTTGATTGTGCATAAATAGTAATGCCCTTTTTTTGCATTACATTTTTAAATTCCATTTAGACACACGTGTAACTGACAGCGTACTGGTGAAGTCATGAAGACAGTGGAAAAAGAGTTTCTACATAGTCTTAAGTTTTAACCTGATTGGCTCCAACCTTGCAGGAATGTACACAGTGTGGAAGCTAAAGGATTAGGATAGCTCCCTTCAGAATGAATTACGCATAAGTGCCTATTTCAGTTGACCACTCTTCAGTAACACAGTTGGTGAGAATTATTATCCCTATACTCCTTTCATCATGAGGAGAAAACCTTGAAGAATTCTCCAAGAAAATACCTCTCAAAACTGTCAGATTTGATATGTCCAAAGTCATTAGGTCAGTGGGACAATTCTAAGAATTAAAATGGGTGATAGTTAATGAACAGTAATAAGTATATATACCTGCATCTTGTGACTGTTTTGGAATGATACTTTTCTTACTGAGCTTGGCCCTTTTTAGTGCAGAGTGGAAGTAGTTATGCTGCCACTTGGTTAGGTCATGCTATTTCAAATGGAACCGTCTGTAGCCAACAAGCTTTCACTTCTGATCCAGTCCGCTCGAGAGCAAGGATTTTGTCTTCAAGTAGTCGTAGAGAGTGTCTTCATTTAATCATGGATTTGCTATCTGACAGTCAAAGAACTAGTGATAAGTCCCAGTCTGTATTGCAGCTTTTAATATTTTAGTTCAATAGGAAGCCACATCTTAATTAAATTTATTCAGAATTATCTGATTTTTTTTCAATGTAGATCTTTCATTCTGGCATGCCCTGGAGTTCACCTATGTTAATGTTTATGGCACTAATGTACTGGTTGCTGCTGCACATGAAGCCAATGTAGAGAAGTTTGTCTATGTCAGTACAGATGAAGTATACGGAGGTAGCACTGATGAGGTGAGTTTGAAAGTGTGTGAGGGTTTTTTTTAGCTTTACTTGCTTTTAATAGTGAAAACAAAATGAGTCTAACTTCCCTTGGCTATTTCTCACGGTACTGGAACTTGTAAACAAGCACCAGTTGTTTCTAGGAAGATAAGTATCAAAATTGTCCTGAATTTTTTTTGTATCCTGTTTTATATTTAATGTATTACCTAAAGCAGTGAGACTGGGGTCATTAATTACATGTGAATACTCCTTAAAGATGGTATCAAGGGAATGTATTATAGAAATTTTGCCTTGGAGCATTCATGAGACTTCAGTAATGTGCACAGTAAGTTGTGTTTTTTTGTTTTGTTTCTGTTTTTGTGGGGTTTTTTTTGTTGTTTTTTTTTTCCTGGGCTGCCTTGACAATGAACTTGACAGGCAGGGAACTGGTTTTATACTCTAGCTAAAATACTAACAGAGTGATAGGTACTGACAATTTGAACAGGAAACAGTTCCTGTATTACTGGAAGAAATATACAGATATTTATCGTTGTTCTATGGAAATTCTTACCAATTTATACCTGACCTTAATGCAGGAAATGTAATTTAGCTCAGAGAAAAGACAAAGTATATATGCTTCTCTCTCTAAACGGGCAGATAACGCCAAGGAGTCTTGTGCCATTATCCATGAAAATATTAATGCATTTCAGAAAAGTCCTATGCACTTTATTATTGTTGCCAATGCTTTTGTAATTTCCTTCAATGTAACTTCAATCTATAGACTTTTATGATGACCAAGGTTGTTGTTTTCCTGCATGTAGACCAGTGGTTTAGCTGAGACTACTTTGCGTGAAAATTTTCTGCCTCTGGGCATTGAAAAGAGCACTTTCATTTAATCTTGTTTTTGTTCTTTGTGAATCATAGTCAGAGTCCTTGAAGAGAGGTTTTTTGTTGTTTTGTTTTGGGTTGTTTTTTTTTTTTGGAAGGAGGAAGAACAATAAACAGGAACAATAAATCAGGGTCAGTTAATTTCAGAAGCAAAGTTCAGACAAGAACAGCGAGTCTCTTATGTTAAGGTGATTGCCATGGATAACACCTTAGACAGTGTAGAATCCCTCCTTTCTTTGGTTCATTATTGTATTTTTTTTCCCCAAGCAAGAAGTAGATGAAACTGGCAGGGTAGCCATGAAGCTGCCTGTTCTGGAACAGATCAGAATTGTTGAAGCCTTGCTTTGGAGGGCTTTGAGTTGAAGTTCTACTTTTCTTACAGAAATAAAGTTTATAGAAAAGGGTGAACGGACTCATATAGGACTGAAAGATCAATTTGCTAGCTGTGGTGCAATGGCACTCTGAGACAATACGAGCCTTAAAAGGACTGAACCACCCTGTGGCAACAGTGATTATTTTACAAGATAAAAATCTGAGAACTTGCTACTGTGAGGTACTCTGCTAGAAGTATAGAAATATTACTGCTGGTATTCTGGCCGCCTCCTGTGTTTGATAAATAGACTGTCTTTTGTTATTGATCTTCCGCTGTAAGTGGAAGGGTGATTTTCTCAGATTGGTGTACTTGGATATTTAGGCATTTTTATTTCAGTTGCAGCTGCAGCTTTTGTAACTGTAGGACTTATCTGGGCAAAAGAAATTGAGTAATGCAAATTTTTCTTTTCATTTTAGGAGTTTGATGAATCCTCTCCAAAACGTCCAACAAATCCCTATGCTTCCTCTAAAGCAGCTGCAGAGTGTTTTGTTCAATCTTACTGGGAAAGGTACCAAGTAAGTTAATATGCAAGCTTCCAAAACTATAGAGTCCATACTGAAGTGTCTGTATTAATGTATATAAGAAAACAAATTTGTACTAGTCCACACGGTGCCACCTCTTTCCTGATTGCTAGTCTTGTAGTTTAGATGTGTAGGAGTATGTCTGCAAGACAGTGGGGAGTTTTTAATTTCTTTTGTTTTAATCTGAACTTTAAGGTCTAAAAATCTTCTTTGATAAAATGGTCAAAGAAAACATTAGCAAAAAAAAAAGTGTTAAGCTTGAAGGAAATCTGTTGATACAGAAGCAGAATATGCAAAATTCAAATTGTGTTAAGACTAGGCTTATACTAAAATCAAAAAAAAAGAAAGACCCACCCATTACTCAGATTTGTTTAAGCAAAAATACTTAAAATTTTGAATACTTTAGTCTTTTCTTCTTGGTGCTCTTCTGCAGAGCTGTTTTTGACATAAAGTTGACTTCAATAAGATGTTAATGACTGTGAAACATTTCTTGGAATCAGAGGTAGTAAGCCAGTCTTCAGTCAACCACATACATGCATATAATGTCCTGTGTGGTTTCATAGCAAGCCTGAGAGATTATGAACATTTGTCACTTGTGGTACTTCTAGAAGACTGAGAAGCCTGGAGGCCACTGACTGTTGGACAGAAGTGCAGATAATCCAATTCATTAGTGTTTGTAAGGACTTGCAGATTTTTGAATAAGCACTCATTTTGAATAAGTGGGTTTATTATTTATTGCTCAGCAAGAAGTCTACGTGTTTTTGGTGGTATATATTTTCTTACGTAATCACACGCATCTTTAATGCTCTTAAGTTCCCAGTTGTCATCACACGGAGCAGTAATGTTTATGGACCACACCAGTATCCAGAAAAAGTAAGTTAAACCTATGCTTTACTGTGAGCTTTAGTATACCATAACTCAGGATTGCAGTGATGTTACTTTTTTCTCATAGGAGTAGACTGACTTTTGAAAAAAAGCACTGTCTTGCGAGTCTATTTGTCCATGCTGACTTGTGATTATATATTTTGATCTCACGCTAACGCATCTTACCATCAACACAATGAATATTTTTTAGTTGTGAGTAGAGCATCCATTAGAGTTTTCTAGTTATTTACAGGAATTGTACTAGAATTACTTTGTTTTGTAATTTTTCTATTTTTCAAAGGATATTGAACTGCCTTATGTCTGGCAGGGTTCCTGTGCAAAATAGATTAACTTATGTGTCATGTGCTGTAATTAGGAATGTTTAATAACTAAGGTAAGCATTTTAAAAAGTAAATTGTGGGACAGCCATATGTGAGGTATAGAAAGACACGTTCCAACCTGTACAGAAAATAGATAGGATGAAGCTATAGCAATTGGATATATGGTGCGAAGTAGGGCAAAGTGACTTATTCTTTGTGTGTGTCCATACATACCTTGCGGAGTGACTATTTAAATTGGTTATTAGTGAGATGGAGTTGCCTTTGTAGGCAACACCAAGATACGCTATGCTCGTGAATGGAAATGCACTGATGGAATTATAGCGATAATCATGCATACTCTTCGAGGCTTGGAGCTTGTGTGAAATGTAGCCATATTTTTGCAGTTCTAGGGAAATACTTAATTTGAATTGCTTTTTGTGTTGGGGTTTTTTTTGCTGGTTGGTTGCTTGTGGGTTTTTTGGGTGATTTTGGTTTTTTTTTTCCAAATAAATTTATTTTCCCCTACATTATTGCAGGTAGACAAGCAATGGGTTTTTTTAAATGCTTTTCACTGATCTGTGGCTTGTGAAATGTCTGGCTTCAGGTTGCATGGTGTTGGGACTATATTCAGGGGTTGTGCCACTGTTTGCTTGCTTTCGGCTTATACGTATTTTTCCTCAAATATTCACTTTTAGTACTGCAAAAACCACATAACTAGACTAGATGGATTTTTAATTTTACCTTGTATGTCTCCTTCTATGTTTAGAGTAGTAAGTTTACAAAATGAAAACAATTGGAATAACTTTCCAGTAGCTTCAGTTTAAAAACTTTAGCACCGAGGCCAACTGTTCTGAAGTGTCTGGGATATTATGATGTATCTAAGCTTGTAGCTGAATATAATATTGTAAATCTTTATGCTGCAAGCTAGTGGATATTGCTTGGTCCCTGTTTACTTGCCTTGAAATTCTCTCTTGGTTCACTTATGAATTTTAACTATTTTAATGACTCCTACTTTTTTACTGTAGATTTACTGCAACTTGCTGCATGTTTAAACCATGTTCTAAACTGTTTGCAGTAGTCATCTTTAGTTAGACTCCGGTGTACTTCTGTGTGTGAAAACTAATGGAACCCTTTTATTCTGTAAAAATGCCACATTTATAACTACTGATTTATAATAGTTGACCAGAAAGATAAGCTCTAACACAATAGAGGCATCATTTACTCTTAAAAAAAAAAAAAAAACAACAAAATCCCTTACCGTTTCTAGGCTTGATGCATTCTTTGGTTAGACTTAAGGAAACTTAAAAGTATTTGAAGAGTCTTAGTAAAATATTTAATGATACTTACTGGTGAAGCCCCATGTTCTTTGCAGAATAACGGCTTCTAAAATAGTGGAGTAATGTTTTTTCCATTCAATTCCTTAGGTTATTCCAAAGTTTATATCTTTGTTGCAGCAGAATAGAAAATGGTATGTAATTTGCTTTTTTTTGTTTGTGGTATTTGTGCTATAAAACTGTAATTACAGTTATAAAATGTGATATAGTTTGTAAAATTATAATTGTATAACTAAGTTATTAATTGCTTATTATAATAATAGTATTTCCTTAAAAAAACCCTTGAATTGTTTGCATGTCAGCTTCTTAAGGTATCTTGAGCTCACAGCTAACAACAAAACTACTTAAAACACAGTCAAATAAATTGAATGCTTCTGTTTAAGGATTAACGAAATTTTCTTGCCTTTTCCTAATTTTAAGCTGTATTCATGGTTCTGGACTTCAAAGAAGGAATTTCCTTTATGCAGCTGATGTGGTAGAAGCATTCCTTACTGTCCTGAAGGAGGGGAAGCCAGGTGAAATTTATAACATTGGAACTAACTTTGAGATGTCCATTGCCCAGCTTGCTAAGGAGTTAATCCATTTAGTGAGTAAACAGTTATGGTCCTTTTCTTTACCAGTCATTGTGCCTATGAACAATTATGCTATAAACCTTATGTAGCTCAGAGAGAGCATAGGCTTGTGGTGGGTCTTAAAAGATAGTTGTAGCAGAACAGTGCGCTACTCTTTTTGTAGCAGTTGTACTACATAAGTGTGCAGTAAAGGCTACCATGCATTGCATTGCTGCATCAGTTATCCTGACTGGGATGCAACTGACATAATGATTAAATACCGTTTGGTAGGGGTTTTATTCATGCTGGTTGCTTCAGTTTTCATTTGAGAATGTTGCACTATTAAAATACAGCAATTTGATTATGAGTGGTTAGGATGTGCTTGGATCAAGGAGAAGTACTGGAATTATTCTAGATAGTTTTGATAATTTCAGTAGTTTGAAAACTCAGTTTAGAGAAAAGACTGTTTCTGGCTTGGGGTTTTTTGTTGTTGCTGGTTCTGGTTGTTTTTTCTTTTTTTAAACAGACTTGTTTAAAAATCTATTTTTAAATGTATGTTAGGACAGTGCAAGATGTATGTGGGTGATTTTTGTTTCTCTTGGCAGATAAAGAAGACCAGTTCGGAATCTGAAATGGAGCACTGGATGGATTATGTCAAAGACAGGTAAGAAAATAATGAAGCACATGCAGGATAGCTTTATCCTGAAGATGTCTGGGTCTTGCCAGATAGTTTTTTGTGAAAGTGTTTCTGCTCTGCAGGAGGAATAACTTTTAAGGGAGTAAGAGCTGTTTTGCTTTCTTAATTTCTAGTAGACTGAAGTCTACTCCGGGAAAAGGATGGGTTTTATGTCATGGCTAAATCTTTTCTCAAGGGTAGTTTAGATAGTTTATTCAGTACTTTGTATTCAACATCACTTGAATGAGATGAATCCCATTGCCTCTCATTTAGCTTTAGTATTTTGACGTTAATGTAACTAGTTCAGACTTAGATGTGCTTTATAGGTAAGACCCACTCTGCACAGGCAGAAACACACACACACGGTGTGTAGTTAATTTTAGATTCCTATCTTAAGCTGATACTGCTATCTCAAAAGCAGATGCAAAACTCTGAGGTGCCAAAGTTAGGGTGGCGGCAAAAATGGATAGCTTTTATAAATACACTTTTGCTGTGTTTCCATCTTTAATTTCAGGCTTGGTTTGGCTCTGTTCTTTTATCTCTGTTTCTTTTCTTCAGCAACAGTGCATCTCTGCGTAGTTGAGATATCACTCTCTTTCTCCAGAGTGATTAGAAATTACCTATCTCCTGATAGGAGTTAAGTGTTATTGTGACCTTTAGAATTCTCACTTTCCATTCACATTTGGATGTTATCATGGCAACTGAAGTGCCTTTAAATGTACTAATTTTGTTTTTTAAAAGGAAGTGTTCCTCAGAATCTTATCTGAGTGTACCACAGGACTTGGCTTTGGCTCACGTGATGTGAGTGTTCAGTACAGGTCTCAGTGTAATTCAGATTTGAGTTGTTTCTTCATGTGTATTGGGCCCTGTCCACTCATGTTTAAACATAAATGGGCTTGGGAAGACTAACCACATAGGAATACATGTTTCAACGAATGTTGAGGCCTTGTAAAAGATACCTAACTAATGTTTATTTAGTTCTATAATGAGCTGCTTAAAGGTCATGAAGGTTACTTGCCATGGAGAAATTAGTTCTGCTTCTGCTTGAGATTAGCATGCTTTAATAACGGTGATAAGTAGCTGGTTTCTGTCTGCACACGTAACTTAACTATTCATTATGCTAGTGCCAGTAATGCAGGAATGCAAGACCAGACAACCTAACTGGTGGATTGTGGAATCGACAATTTGTGCCATACTTAAATGTAGGGAATCTCTGTGTTGAAACTTGCACAGGGGTTCTAAATGTTCAGTATTACTAAGTTTGTCGCTAATGAAGCAGTGTAATGACAATGATTTGGAAGTCTTACCTACTTCAGAGCTGAAGTATGTGAAAATATATGGGCTTTCAGGGTGAAAAATGTGAATGCTGCTATTGGAAAACACTGGCTTGCATAGTGACTGTCTATGTCACTATGCAAGTGACATTTGCAACTAAGGAGTTGCAAATCGCTGATTCGCACAACTGCATTGGCAGTGATTTGAGTTTTGCATTCATTTTTGTGCCAATAAGAGATTAATTCATATTTATTATAGTAAATTCCAAGTAGTTGAGTATACAAATGGAACTGTATTGTTGTAGCTGCACTTAACTGCTGTGTGTTTTTTTAAGGCAGTGTAATCTGTTTGTGTGGATGGGAATTTTCAAAATTGAAGCATACCAAGCGTTGGTTTGAAGACAGTGTGAGGTACTGCATCTCTAATTAATAAAGTCTAATCAAATATTTTTTCATGTGTATTTTATACTTCTTCAGACCTACCAATGACCTGAGATACCCCATGAGTTCAGAAAAAATGCACAGCTTAGGCTGGAGACCTAAAGTGCCTTGGAAAGAAGGAATAAAGAAAACAAGTAGGACTAATGCCTTTTACACTAATTTAGAAGTGATGGGAGGAGGGAAAGGGGGGAAAATGGGTAGATAGAATGAGAAGCCAAAGAGAATTAATTTAGTGTTAGAATAAGTTTTGCATAAATAATTTAAAATATCTAAACTAGATTTTAAAAATATTATAGGTTAAAATTTTGTATAATGAACTATTAGCATGTTGTTAGTCCTGTGATATCTGTGGAATATTTGAATTTCTCTGTTGTCTCTGGTCACTTTGACTCACCCACATTCTCTCCACACTAGTTGAATGGTACAAAGAAAACTTTCACAACTGGAAAAACGCAGAGAAAGCTTTGGAGCCCTTTCCTGTGACAGAAGCGTTTGCCCAGCTCAGTGATCCATAGGGTGGCGAAGAGCCTGAAGGAGTTGATTCTACCTCATGCAGTCTTTTCTTTGGAGCCTGCAATCAAGTGGCCACACTGAACTCTTAAAGTATTCAAGATACGTGGACCACGATGGGTACAGAACTACGGCACGGCACAACTTTGGAAGGGTTTCAGCACTTTATAAGTTGAACCTGTTAATTTCAGCTTTTGGTGCAATACTATTCTCACTAGCTATTGATTTTTGAAGAACTGTACAGACTAAAGAATATTTATAATGCCGTAATTAGTGTAACTGATGTCAAATCTGCCTTATTAATTTATAATAATGATTTGTGATTACAGTTTTTGGGAATTTCAATGAATTTTTTTTATTTCTGGATTTGTTCATCTGTATTAGTCTGTTTTTTACAGTGTTATATATTATTTTTGTCACTTGATATGTATTACTTTTGTCACTTTTAAGAGTTGCATTTTATACTTAATCAAGGGGAAAATAGTTGTATTTTCTGTGTATTTTCACCTATATGGTTCAGTCCTTTTCTCTGTTGGTGCACTATTATGTTGTGTAGATGACTGAACTGTTATCTACTCTACTTTGAATGCCCTTTTTCAAGGAGGGTGGTGCAGAAGGGTGTCAAGAAGTAGCGAATGTTCTCGCTGACATTTCCAGAAGCCTGGAAAATGCTTGTCCTGCCTTAGATGTCATATTTTTTACTGTATATTTACTGTATTGTCTTTTACATGGTAGCTTCCTTTTCTTAACTAATTGTAACAGACTTGAAATACTGTAACACAGTTGACATTCCAGTGATGTTATGTCCTCTCATATGAAGGCTCTTTATGCAGAAAAATGTTAAACAGCTGTGAATTGTGGGTTGGCACGCCTTATTCAAGGCAGTGTTTCACAATACATATTTTTTTGGTGACAAGCATTTTAAAGATGAAACAATACTTGAGTTTTAATGTAAAGTTTGGGAGGAAACTTCCAATTCTAGAAATATGTCAGTGAATCTTTCAAAGTCGATTTAATAATAAAAGTTAATGTAACTGGCTTCTCTTAATTAAATATGTTGAGAAAGTAGATTTTTTTCATTTTATATATGTATTTGTTAATTTTTTCAGGGTACAGGAAGACGTATCTTCACTTTTTTGGCGTTGAGGTAGCAGACATAGAAGGGAAAACTCCTCTGGGTTTTACCATTTTGGCTTCTGTACTTGGCACAACCTCAGACCCTTCTGTCTCCCCTGGGTGGAGCAGCAGAAGCATAGGCTGGTACACTGTGCTGCACTGGGAAATTGCTGCAACTTCTCAAGTCTCTCAGAAATTGGGAGTTAATTCTCAAAACACCAGTATGTGCGAAAGTTCTCTCGTCATCACCCTAAGGAGGAAGAATGGGCTTGGGGCATTTGTCTTAGCTTCGTCCCTGCTAGAGTTTTGGTAGGAACTGAACATAAAACCTCCTAATAGCAACCCAGGTAGCCTTGGACCCACAATGCTCCCAGCTTCATCACACCTCTTGTGAGTTACATGGTGCTGTTGATGAATGACACACCTGGTTCGTAAGAGTCACTGTAAAAGAAGGCTGCACAGTAAATGTTGGCTCACCTTAGCATCACGTATGTGTTCTGAAGTTTAGGAATGTGCTACTGAAGGTGAGTTTCCTGTGACAGTGGGATAATAATTCTGTACTAGAATTGCATTGTACTTGTATTTTTTGGGTTTCTGATACTTGGGTTGGTAGTCAAAACCTCCATTTGAGAAGGACAGAAGTTACAGACATGGTATATACTGATCTGTTAGAATATTTTACTTACCACGTACTTAAGTTTCTACTGGTGAATCACTTAAAATTTATTGACAAAACACACATTGCTGGTAACATTCAACTCTTATCTTAAAGTTTCTATTTTCTTGAGAGACAATTTTACAATATGCAGAGTTACTTACCCATCTTTTTGGTATTCTACAAAAGTCAATACGAGAATTAGTTCTGCAAAGACCAGTTCTAGCTGCATTTATGCTTCCTGTGGCAGCTACTCTGGGTGAGCTGCATGTAATTATGTATTTTTCACATCTTGGGCTGGAATGCTGGCTGTGTGATGTGTCTTTAATTTTAGGACTGGAGAGTATAGATTCTAAAATTGTTATTTTAAACCTTACAAATAGATACAGTGTCTTTGGAGCATTAAAAATCACTTAACTTGTGTTAGTGTTATCAGATCAGAAATACACAGAAGAAAGCAGTAGTGTGTGATTGGTTTATTGAACAGATCTTCTGAGAGTTGTTTTCAACGTTTGGATGCTGAAGAGGCAAACTTTGACATTTATGTGACTGTCTGAACAAGTGATATTACTGGAAATGGATTTTTCAAAAGGATGTATTAATTTTTAGTGGAAGCTGTTCTAGTTTATTTAAATGTTTTTGAAGATTTAATTCTTCCAAGTGTTTGAGATTTTTGGCTCAGTGATCCTGCTTTTATTTATATATATATATATATTTATATA